TGACTAGTTAGCTACGCTTCGTCGTCGCCCGCCTCGGTTGAGCCGAACGTAGGCGACATCTCGGTCAGCTTCACAATGATCTGGCGAAGCTGTGCAGGTTTCCCACGGCTCCGAAAGGCGGACTTGATTTTCGGCATCATCTTCGTTGCGAGGACTGACTTGGTTACGGTGCTGTTGCCACCGCCCAGAACAGTGATAATTTGGGTAGTCAACGCGTCGTCGTCTTGCGGACTGGAGCCTTTCATCACCAGGTTCTTGAGAAAGTCTACCACCCCTTTCTTAGCTTGGTCGCCGATGACGATGATATTGCTGCGGGTGACCAGCACGTTGTTACCTGCAACAGTTGCGTTCAGCTTCGTCGTACTGGTATCAGGGTTTTCGGACGTATCCGTGGGAACTTCCGCAGGAGCCATCGCCAACGTCGGGTCAGCTGTCGAGTCGGCCTTCATGGCTGGGGACATGGCTGACACATCCAGCCCGGTGCTGACAGCAAGCAGACTAGCCAGGGAAAGCAGCGTTACAAAAAAAAACTCTTCATGTTAGGTGTTCGACTTGGCAGACGCGGAGATAAAATGAGAATGGATTGGAGCGATTGCTGGTCAGGCTAGAACTTTTACCTAGAATTTCACGTACACTGACAGGAGAGTTAGATCTGCTAAAGGTTGGAAAACTCGCAGCATGGGACCGAAGTAATTCAAGGGAACTTACTGGACTCTTCTCATTAAATTCAACTCCACTTTCGAGGAAATGATTAGTGTGGCAAGTCGCAGAATCGTTGAAGCTCGAGTACCGCTTGGCACATGTTGGAGCTGAAAGGAAGACGCGGCATTAAAGTTACAGTTTCTAAATACATGAAGTCACCGCTAGCAATGCGGAACCGTATAAATCGACCAGCGGCGCATTGTGCCTCCATGTCTGTGCATGGTATGGATCACGAACATAGACAGCATTCTCAAAACGGCGCAGTTGCTCATATAGACCGCAACCGCTATCTCCCCGCGCACGCGCTTCGTTAGTACTGCATTAAGCTGCCGCGGACAAACTCTCCGCGTAAACTATCAGTTTTTTTTATTTTTCTTACAAATATTACAAGTATTGTGTTGTAAGATCATCAAGTTCTATAAGCTTACACAGGCACGTAGATTCAAGACCGTCACATCGGTTTTATGCAGCCTTCTTGACTTTCAAGCGAAAACCACCAGCAATAACGTCGTTGATATCCGGGATATGGACAATAGGTATGTAACTACACTTTCTTCGCAAATTTGTCCACTGTGACGGAGGCATGCACCAAGGTGGGCCTCTTCTTTAGCTACAGATGAAGGAAGGCCAATCATGACTTCCCAAATTCGGTTTTTCAGTGATGCACCCGAATCCCTTAATCCAGCGCCATCAGGTACGGGGTAGAGGTACCTAGAAGCGGACTTAATGGAGACCTGGCCCTGAGTTCTACTAAACCGGTTTAATTCTCCCCGAACTTTATTCAAGCATTCGCCACAGCCTGTATGTTATCCACCCGGAATTTGGCCTAAGATATTCGTGCAGTGTGACTGTCACGCTTGAGGCAGAATAAACCAACTCATGTTCGAAATATTAACTTGCAATTGTGATTATGGGGGCATTTTAGATTACGAGGAACCTGTGAAAGTCGGCAGGCAGTCGAGTAAAATAACTCCCCGTAATCATTTGGTTGACGATGGCACTCATTAGAAAATCTCAACTTAGTCATGCTGCTGCTTCAGGCCTGACAAGCAACTCATTCCTCAATTTGTCTTAAAGCAAACAACCTCAAACAGCTTTTT